AAAAAAAAAAAAAAAAAAAAAAAAAAAAAATGTAATACAACAATCATGGTCAGCCCCGTTGAGGGTCGTCTTTTGTTTCTGGATTCGACTTTTATAACAGATACGGATTCTCTAAATTTGAAAGCTCACATCCAGTTCTTGATAAAATGTACCTTCGAATCATCCTCATCGAGGAGACAGACAATGCCAAGATTTAAAAGTACTCAACAAACCAACTATACATAACTGGTATTGGACTGTTACATGTTACGGCAGATTGACCAGAGTTTTCATAATCTAATCATTGAAGTTGAGCCTCGTTGCAATACCTCTTGAAGCTCAAAGCCTCATCAGCCAGAAACTCGCTGTTAAAATCGAACCAAATCGGTATTAACACAACTGATAAGTGAATGTATATGCAATCGAGGAAATGAGAGAGAGAGACAACTTACAAAATCCGCTCAGCCATTTGCAATGGCTCCCACCTAGGACTCCAAGGATAGTCGGTGATAAGCTGCGACTTTATGGGTGCACCTTGAGAGTTGAAATGCTGAACAATATATGGACATAATTAGAAAAAGAGGGTACTAAACCAATAATCCAAGAAGGGATCTTTATAAAACCTAGTAGGCCCATCAAATATTGATAAAAATAAGAAGCCATCTCAATGATGCCAGTCCGATTCATAATGAACAGAAAAATCCTTGGAAACTAGAGTTATACAGATTGCACCCATCATGTCATTTAATCACTTCAAGACATGCGTCCTCATAAAAACTGATTAACCAAATATTCCCTATTAACATATTTACGATCATTAGTCACAATGTACAGATTTTTTAGAAAAATACAAATGATAACGGAGTCTAAATAAAGGAGAGTTTGGACGACCACAGGAGCATGTTGATGAAAAACATAGAAGCATATATTCATTGCCTTCGTCACATGTACTAGTAAGCAAAGTTGGAATGCACATGAATTTCAAGATTCAAGACAAATTTACATTACCTGAGAACTTTGCAGCACCAGAGAGGGTTGTTTCTTTGGAAATTGGGTTGACATGAGGAAATGGACCTAGCATTAACAAAAAATTCCCAGAAAAACAAGGGAAAGGAAAATAAATTCCTATGTTGTCTCTTACATATATATAAAAAAAAATTAAAAAAAAAAAAGAACACTCAACTATTTTGTCAATCAATAAACATTAACTGCATTCCATGCCCCATCTTACCAGATCAATACACACTATCGTAGTTTAATTTAAAACCAGAAGAATTTTTAAAGCATTTACCACTGATCCAGTATCCTTAGTGCGAGCAGTAAATCATAACCATCAAGAGATTTGCAAGTCTAGCATACGTTCTGTTCCAAATTATTATACATTTGATAGCAAAAGAAAGATTTGTGTGAATCTGTGTCACGAAAATGTCCCATAGAAACTGGACGGAATAGAGAAACCATTTGAAAGGATAAATAGTTGCAAAATTTCTTGGCTATCATCCAATTCAATGAGATAACGCATTTCTTCAGCAAAAAAATAAAAAGTAAAAATCAGTTAGCAAGGTCAATATTTGACCAACGCATAGTTAAAATAATCAAATTTGACATCATGAACTTGTCAAACATTCATCTTCGGTTGTGGGTCTCAGTGGTGTATTTTATGCGGAAGGGCATTGGAAGAATTAGATTATGTTTTATGGAGATGCCACTTTGTTGTGAAGATTTGAGGACATTTCTCAGTGGTGAGAGCTAATAATCCAAGTACAGGTTGTTGGGGTATGTCAGAGTTTGTCAGGTTCTCAAGCAGACGGTCATTCCTTCAAGAATGTAGAAAGGTGTTGTAAGGAAGTTTAGAGTGAATGTCGCTTTCTTTAATGCCTATGTTTGGATGTTCTCTACAAATTTTATTCTCTTTCTTTTCCCCTTTTAAAAAATTAACCACTGTTTTGTTTTTGTTGTTAGGGATCCTTTATTTCGGGCTTCTCTCTGAAAAATGAAAATTTGAAGGCTATCTTGTCAGCGCTGGACCCCAGAATATTGTACCAAATATTTTGGGTGGTGATCATCTAGTCAATATTATGCTATCTGAAGATCTACAGACCAGGGTACTAATCCTAACATCCGCAGATTTTGACAACATGATCGTGAGTTAAAGAAACCTATCAATCGCAAGAATTAACTAACCATTACGTGAACAATATTCTTTTTCATAGTAAATAACCGAAAAAAAATCCACATAGTGATGGGATACTACATACTAAGGATAGTGAAGCCAATACCAGGAATGTGAACACGCCGGAGGCAGCGATAACTGTAGCCGTTCGACAGAACACCTAAAAAAAAAAAAAAAAAAAATCATATCATCAGTAAAATTTGACGAGCCCCCACCACTTAAATTAAGAATTGGATGATGATTTTCAACAAATGAAGACGACGGATGTAAATAAATTTGTAAGAATCCCACCGGATCAGCTTCTAGAGGCCTTCCAAAGAAAGAGCCCAACGCCTCTATAAAACCTCTCCTAACATTGATCAACGAAACTGCCTCCAGTACCTTCATCAGAATGATAAAAGTACAAAATTTCAACTTTAGGCAACTTCCAAAACTAAAGACCAAGTTAATCAACCCAGAGAGTATCATCTGTCCGGTAAAAATCTAACCAACCTGTTTCTCAAGACTCTCTTCTAGATGGGGAAGATATTCAGCCATGCACCTTGAAGCCAGTTAAAAAAAAAATGATATCAATTTTAGCATGCAATCTTGACCGCTGCAGAAATAGAAATGAGATACAAGAGAGAGAGTATACTACATTCCATCTATCCATGAAGGAAGTTTGATGTCCTCGATGGATAACAGAGCCTTCAACTCAGACGTGGAGACCAATTTCAGACGAGGTGCAGCAGGAGTAGACGCATATTTTCTCACCACAGGATATAAAACCTATAAACAATGATGAGAATGGGAAATAATAGAGGAACAGGAAAACCAGAAGTTCAGAAAGGAAACCTGCAAAAATATCTTCTGTGGGTGCCTCCATGGGCATCCAGGTATCATCTTATTAATATTAATGTCTACTAGTGGCACTGCAAATTTGACATCCTCCGGCTATGCTAAAATTCAAAGGCATAGAAGCCACACATATGAGAATAAAGAGAGAGAATAGAATTCTCAGTATCAACTCTTTACTATTCAAGGAAAGTACAACCACAAACTTTAAAATACTACCTTCTCAACACCTGAACTCAAATGCATTTCAATTCCCTGCAGAAAGGTAGTTTTGGTTAAGTTACCATTGAAAATAAAAGAACCTTAAGGAGAGAACACAGATATCTGTATAAGGAGCAGCTTGCCCAACTAAAGGAATACATGGTTATAAGCAAAAAAATTTAAAAAAAAAAAAAAAAACATTATAGGGATGGTTTAACTTCTACACTACTATAATTCAAGCATGAAAAATCTGGAATAATTAACTAGCAGCAGTTCTCTCATTCAATTTCCAAGCATGAAAACTAAATTATAAAGTTTTATACATTTCTACAGGCATCCAGCAAGAATGTATTATCAAGAAACCAAGTCCAATACCCGATCCCTTAAATTCCTAAACTCATGCAATTGATTATCAAAACAGAGTTAGGACAGTGTAATAAACACTATAATGAAGAACGTTACCTCCCTAGATAACATAGTACAGAGTTCAAACTTCAATCTTTCATCCTCAACTCCTTCAACCCGTTTCCTTTGGTATGATGCATATCGATCCCTTAAAAAAAAAGTAAAGTTGCCTTTGAATTCTAGCTGAATTATACCCAAAACATTAGAAACAGAAGAAGGCTCAATCAAAGGAAAGCCCTGAAGAACCTCAGTTCTTGAAGGAGGCTAGTGAGCCGAGATGGATCTTTGCTGTTCCAGTCACGTAGACTATTTTGTAAGGAATCATGATATCCCTCTCCTTCATCAACCTTACTTGTGAAAGGATGGAAATTTTCATCTTCTGGTCCAAACATAATATCAGGTGCAGAAAATGGCGATTCAGCATCGTACATGATGTCCCCTACGACAGGTAACAGCTATCAAACAATCTGTCAACCATTTACAGGGAAATAGAAAAGAATTGAAAGGATATTATGATAACAACAATGGAAAACAGGTCTTACATTTGACGAATTCAAGGCAGTAAGGTATGACTAAGGTGAACCTATCGATAATTCCAGGGTAGTGTCTACTGCCAGACCACATGTTCTCAATCTGAATATCAAAACAGTAAGAATAAGTGATCTGTTCAACAAACCGTTCGCTTTCTATCGCCATATTAAAGCGACACTAAATACTATCATCGGGGTGGGAAAATGGAGGGAAAAAAGAAAGAAAGAACTCCGAATATCATCCATTTCCGATCGATGTAATAAACTAGAAATCGCCATTTGATTTTGTTATCCCTGAATTTTCAAGGAAGAGATAGTAAGCGGAATGGTTTACCATTAAGGGGAGAGGAAAGTGATTGCGCAGGTAATTGATTTGAGCAGCAATGAGAGGAGGTACAGTATCGGAAGACATGGCCTTAGCAGCTAAGCTAAACAATGAAATTACTCGGTTTATCGCCGGCAATCGATCTGGAGAGCCAGTCAGCTGAAACAGCAATGAACACCTTCCGAATCAGCTCAGGAAAATCACACCTCTACCCTCTTACCGCGAAGAGGCCTCGATTTTCGATCAACGAACAGCTTAAAATTCTTGAAACCGCTGCCTTCTTCCACGACTTTACCGAACCACAAATCTAAACTGCGACTTTAGTAAATTCAAGTCGCAAAATGGGCCAATGGGCTCGATTGCCGAGCTTGGGCCGTTTACTGGTCTCACGTTATGGGTCCATGAGGAGAAATTCTGGCCCAAGAAAGCAGGGGCAAAATCGTCAATGGGTAGCGGAGAAGGAAACCCTAAAATGACTTGCCCATTCTCCTTTAAATAGTACACAGCTTCTTGACTCTTTACTCAAACGCTCTATTTCGATTTTAGGGGTACTAAGCTGCGCGCTCTGCATGACGAATCCTCTCGTTTGCTTCTTGTTTTGATGGTTTCTTGTTCATATAATGGCGTTTGTTTTTCTGTGCTCAATTTAGAACCAGATGATGATTTTGGATTCAAATTCTCACGACGGTCGTCTGAGACGACGCTTTACGTGTCGATATTGATGCAATGATCCATTTCTTCTGATGGTCTAGTTTTTCTTCTTTACGTCTGAGAAAATTCTCTTTTATAAAACACCTTTGCTCCTGCAAACGAATTCTGATTCTGATTTCTTTTTCTGAATGCGTTTTCTATGCGATGAAGGCTGTTCTATTGCTTTTGTGATTGGTGCAAGCATAGTGATGATGATTTAAACCTGTCCGATCAATCTAATGACTGGAATAACAACCTCCTACTCATACTGAATGCTTGCCTATTTTAAAGCTACGCCTTCTAATGTTTACTCGTTTTAGATCTCATTATCCGTGATTTGGTAGTTTTTGTTTTCCTGCTTTTGATTTTTTATTCCGTCTGTCTACTTCGTTTGGTTTTTTTTTGTTTACAATGGCACCATGAGGATTCACTTGTATTCAGCATGAGATTCAAGGATCAGTGAATTTGAAGCACAAATTATAAAGTCCTTTTCATTCTGAGTGCCCTAATTTAAGCAGCTTAAGAAGTCCTCTTCCTTTTCCTTCTGAGTGTCCTTTCATACCGAGTCCTTTTTACTAATTTAGCAGCGTAAAAAACTTTTCGTGTTTATTCTGACTGTTAAATTCTTTCTTTCTTTTTACCATCAATTTTAAGTTCTTTCTTCGATTTCCAAATGATTTATAGGTATACAAGATAAAAATTACAATGATATTACTATGATTTCCAAATTTTGTCCAATGATGTATTCATCGGTTCATTTCTCGACTGGTTCATTTCTGTTGACTGTCTTACCCAACTAGTGCTTGTTTAGTCACCAGCCACAGTAGAAATATGTTTGTCATTGATGTGTTTTGAAAATTAGTGGCTAGTTTGTTGCCTATGTATGAATAGTTGTCCTTCCAGAGCCGCATATACCACAAATCCATTCGTAGAGTGAAAAAATACATGCGACGTTGATCGGGCAAAATTTATCAGTTGCAGTTAGAAAAAGTAATCCCAGTTTATCACTCTCTTAGGAATGTAAATGTAGTAACGCGTCTTGACAAATTGATCATTGCGCGACATTGTAAACTGGCACTACCATGGAATTGGTATTACATAAATGAAACTCAGGTATAACTGTAATGATGTATCTAATGAACTACCGTATCCTAACCGGAAGGCACTAAAAATCCTTTTTGCATTGATTCATAACTTCATGTTCCAATACGTGTTACTGCTTGAAACCCGCTCATAGATGAACCAGAACCTCCCCATTTGAACCTTTCTCTGTTCGACCAACTTTAATGTAACTAGAAGTCTGTCTTTTATTATATTTTCACATCATTAACCAATATTATATCTGTAGTACGTTTTGCATCCCAACCCTCCCAGGCCGACTTACTCCGTCAACAAATTACACGTTCACTATGCATTATATCATTGATCACCAATGAGCTTTTTACATGTCCTTTCTCACCGTTTGTTATTTTATCTTAAATTTCCAGTTCTTCGAGTTCAACGTCATAATCAGCATCCGAGAAAGTTTTCACAGAAGCTCAGACATGTAAAAGTAGGCCTTAGCAGGTACAGAAGAATAGATACCTCTGCCATCTCACTCGGCAGGAAAGTAGCTAGACAATCAAAATCAGAATCTAGACTACTAATGGACAGTCTAACATTCATCTACACAGGAGCTCAGAAAGAGTAAATTAACGTTCATTTTTCTTCTTCGTCATTCCTTATATCATTGATTACCAATGCGCTCTTTATTTACGTTTCTCTGCTTTATTGACCAGATTTCATCGGGTGAAATCACTAATGGTGGTAACCAATTACCCCCACAATGTCCTATTTAGATTACTGTATAACCCTAAGACGTAAAATCATTGATTCTAATTGCTGTTTCTTCGGTTGCTGAGAAACCATACGGAAGGAAAACAAAATGCGCAGACGAAAAATGTTGAATCTACAACATAGAAAGTTCTTTATGCAAACTACATGCTATACTTCACTCGCTATTCCTAGATCTACCAACAATCAAATCAAATCAGCCGATCAAAATCATACCACGGAACAAGCCGCACAGTCTACGACGGATTAAAAGGACATTATTCTGCCCAAACAATGACCGAGCAGATATATAACTGCTACGGCTACATAGAGTGAAAATATCAACGAATATTAGTCCGAGAAACAATCATACATCGGACGCAATGAACTGACCTCCAATTTAAGTTGATCCTGGACTACTGAACGAACAACACAGAGAGAGGGAGAGTGATTACGACGGATTAGGACATAGTTCGACTGAAACAATGACAGAGATACAACTGCAAACGAGTACATAGGGAGAAATTATTGGCAACAATTAGTTTCAGAAACAAGCATTCATTAGAAGCAGTGAACTGACCTCGGATCGAAGTTGAACTTTTCTTCATTGAAGCAAATTCATAGTCGTCAGAATCATTCCCCAATCTATTCGCACACGGAGAACTGGATAATGAATTGGGATCGTCGTTTAGTGATTATGAAAAGGGTGTTTTGGTTTAAGAAGCATTGGACCTATCGACATCCTAATTCCAGCTGTTTCCTTGTCTTCAAATTCTCCAAATGCCTAAAACACCCTGATTTTGGCGGGAAATTTACCGATCCCAAAGCAAAATTGAAGGTAAAAATTTATTGTTTTTTTTTAAATAATAATAATAAGTACGCTCCGAGTAAACGGGTTAATAATGTATTAAAAACAAAAAATAGATAAAATTAAGAAAATAATAGAAAATATATAAATAAATTTAGATAATTAAAATTCAACAAATCTAAGTATATGACCTAAAACAATATTTCAACCAACATATTTTGATGGGCTGATGCATCCGCCGAACCCGACTACAAACCACCGCCGTGGACAGATGCATGTCAACCATGTGCCATATGGTTCGGGCTCTCCGGCAATGGCTCATCTTGCACTGCGGTTGCACCCTAGCTACATTATTTTGTCTCCTTATAATGATGTCTGCGATGCAATAATGGTTGTGAAGGTGGTGCTTATAAGCTTGAATTTTGTGGCTAGTCGTATCCACTTCCCGGGTGGTGCTTCATGTTTATTCCAATCCGGTTGTTAATATTGGGCACATCTGTAGGAATGGGTTTTAGTAGTGGGGGAATTTGTTATAGAGGCCATAACTAAAAGGGAGGGGTCAAGAAGATGAACACTGAGGGCGAGGTTTTGGGCTATTGATGATGCATCTGGAAAGCATAATTGAAAGTGGTGATATTGTTTAAAACTCCCTCTTGGCCTTTTCTGCATCACCCCATTCCAATTAAAGGTTGCATAAACCAACAAAACTTTTGCATTTAGTATTCAATTCCTGGTCTATGATGGAAGATTCGTATTGAAATGACGCCATTTCTTTGAGTGGTATTTCGAAGCAGATAGAACAATGATGGAAGGTGACGCAGGCTCCCACGTCAATCACACGAACCTAGACCTCTTTCAATTTTTCATGTCACAAACTTCAATATTTTCGGCCTATATAGCCCTCTTGACAGCAAATCCGCCGCCCTGCAGTTAACTCCATCTGGACAAATGGGTAAGTGAAGTCTGAACATAATGACTTTTGTTGGAATTTAATCAAATATTTAGGGGCTCATAGATATTGTTTTTTTTTTCTTTTATCCTAAAAATTTTAAAACTAGACCAGACAAGTATTTTTTGTTTCTCTCTCCAACCCTTTCACAATCCACCTCTTTGGAGGCAAGCATCCTTGCTAATACACAGTTCGGTGTCTTACTCTAATACCATTTGTAATAGTCTTATTTCACCGTTAGTAGATATTGTTCGTTTGACCCGTTATGTATCACCGTCAGCTTTATAGTTTTAAAACGTGTTTGATAGAAAGAGGTTCCATTGTGAAATCCCACCTCAATTGGTGACAAAAACAAAGCACTTGCAAGGATGTGTAAGTCTCTCTGCAAAAGACAGATAAGGAGGGATTTGTGCTGCCGTTTGTCTTCGACTTGAATATCTGGAACCGTGTGCCTTTCAATTGAGGTAAAACCTGAGCTCAGCAAGTTAAACTCTCTTACTCTGTCAACAACTTGAGTGTTCGAGTCTTGTCGGCCGAAAGTGAAATTAATTATTAGCCAATTGATGCATTTTACAATGGGAAAAATGTTGTAAATGACACGATTTTTTTGTACGGACAGGCTGATATTTGGTAATTGCCCCGCAAAAATCAAAGCGTATTTAGATATATGTCTCTTTCCTTTTAATACAGAGCAAGCCAGCTGTTTAACACCTTATCTATAATAAGCTCATAATATTACTTAATTTCTTTTAGTGGTCCTCCCTGTACAAACAATTAAATAAAAATCTTTGATATTTCATAATAATTTTATTTGTTTCAGATAAAGGATTAATATCTCAAAAAAAAAAAAAGCGTGGACAATGGCTGCGGCCACGCCTTCCTGTCTCCTTTATATTTATGCTGTCTATTTCCTTCAACTTTTCTCTGCCGCCTCTGATTCAGCTTCTACGATACATCTACTGCCCGCGCACTTTCAACATTTAACTCCGACAAAATTTCTATAATAATTATATAAAAAAAAAAACAATTTTTAAAGTTTGACGTGGATTTTAATATCGTGACTAGGCATTGAAAATGTCAATTTTGGTAAGCAAATTGAAGAGACAAATGGCAAAGTCCCAGGTGGCAGCTACGTGGAACCATAGTCAACGGATCAACCAATTAAATTCATTTTCTTAATTACGGTCTACGAAGTTTGACTAGTTTGAAATTTCTGGTACGAAAACAGTAAAACCAGAAACAAAGAAAGAACGGCCTTTGTTTTTATTTACCTTAAACAAATAGGCTGCTGCGGCTTTCTGACTATGGACCCCTTTTTTACTTTTGCCATATTTATCCTTAAGTGCTCTTTATTACTTTATTGGCGGGTACTTTTTATGTGGATAAAATCTTTTTGCAAAGCAACCATTTAATTAAATTAAATTTATAATTTAATAAAACAAAATTAGCACTTATTTCATTTTCCATCTCCATTCTTCGTGCGATACCATTTGTAACAACCAAAGGCTATCACTAAAAAAATATTGTCCGTTTTGACTCATTTGATATCACTATCAGCCTCACCATTTTAAAATACGTAGAGATGTTTTCATACTCTTATTAAAAAAATGTTTCATTACCTGTTTAAGTACGTGAGATCTTACAAAATTTTTGGGTAGTTTTACGTGGATTATTTTGTTTTTATTAGTTTATTTTTTATTTATTATTATTATTATTATTATTTGGTTAACAGTTAACTATCAAATTGAAAATTAATGAATATTTTCTATAAAAACTTAATTATCTTTTATTCAACTAAGATTAAAACTTATTTATGATTTTAAACTTAGTAAATATATAAAGAAAAATTATATAAAAAAAAAACAATTATGCTTTATATTTAGTAGATAGTTATATATAGTTTAAAAAATTGTACTTTTTACTTCTCTATTATTATATATAAATTTTCAATAAAATTTCTAACCAATATTCTTTTTTATATTTTCTCTAATATTCTTTTAATTTATCTAAATTGAGTGTATTTTTGTACGTCAAATATTTGTCCTATTATAAATTAAAGTTGCATGACAATTTGTGCAAAGATATTTGTAGATATTTGTTGAGTATCAGAGATATTAATTTATTTGTTAGAGGCAGAAATGGATGCAATCAACTCCCAAATTAATATCCCACCTACAATTATCACATCAACATGTCCATAAATTTTGGAGAATAAATTAAAACAAAAAAAAAATTATTATAATTTAATGAACTAATTCATTTTTCAAAATTTTTAATTCAATTTTAGGTCAAAATTTCAACCATATAAAAAACAAACACACAAAGACAAATATTTATAATTGGACCGAAGAAATAAAATATTCGCTTATTGTTTTATAATAAAATAATATTAACTTGCATGAAAATATAGCCTTTTGTAATGGATAACGTGACTCATCTTCGCATATTTATAGAGTTTTTCTCGTTTTTTTTTGTTATAATATATAAAATGTTCAACAAATTTCAAATCAGAATAATATTCTCGATTTTGCAGCATGATCAATTTGACTACTTATTATTTATTAGTAAAGAGAAAATTGGATTAAAAAATAAATTTCAATTGCGTTGAGTGGCTTGGTCGTGGCTGCCTTAGTCAAATTTTCATGCCACTTGGCCTGGACATGGGCCATAGGTTAAATTAATATATTCTTTTAAAATTTATTCTTCATGTCGGTAATTGTCCGGATTACATGACATAGTAGGATAGTAAAAATTTATAAATTAGTTCCAATTTTTTTTAAAAAAAAAATTCATATTATCATTAAAAAAAAATCAACTCATTTAATATCATGCCATATAAGTTTATTATTAGCAAATTTAAATATTTATTAATGAAATGGGTATATTTGAAAAATGTTACATTAATAAGGAATAAATTAAAAAAAATGCTTTGAATATTAGGAACTACACCATACATTGCCCATTTTTTTAAAATATTGTCAATTTAATCCTTAAAAAAATTAAATAATTAAAAAAATACAATGGATGGGCCCACTAAGCAAGTAGCTAGAAAGGTCCATGGGCCTTGGACTATCTATAAATATGTGATCCATTGCGGCCTCCATTTGAAACCTCATTCCAAATCCCTCGCTCTCTTCCCCAAACGCCGTCTTCTTTGCTCTTCTCATTTCATCTCTTCTTCATTGATGGCTACCCAAATTTCATTCATATTATGTCTCCTGACTTACCAAATTTTAATCTCAGGTAGCCCTCCCCCTGTTTCGTTACAGTTTTCACTTTCCTTTTTAATCAATATTTTAATGTTCATGTTCTGAATTTTCTTCTTAATTTTTGAACTACAGGTGTATTGTCCACCACTTTCAGCATCGTAAATAAATGTGATTACACAGTTTGGCCGGGAATTCTTTCAAACGCCGGAGTTTCACCCCTTCCGACAACCGGCTTCGTCCTCGCCGCCGGCGAGTCTCAAACTATCTCCGCTCCCGCGTCTTGGGGCGGTCGGTTCTGGGGCCGAACTCACTGCTCCCAAGACTCCACCGGAAAATTCTCTTGCCTCACTGGAGACTGTGGCTCTGACAAGGTTGAGTGCAGTGGAAACGGTGCAAAGCCGCCGGCAACTCTGGCGGAGTTCACCCTTGACGGCGCCGGCGGGCTGGATTTCTTCGACGTGAGTTTGGTTGACGGTTACAACATCCCTATGCTCGTGGTCCCACAGGGCGGTACCGGCGAGAAGTGCGCGAGCACGGGATGTGTGGTGGATTTGAACGGCGCGTGTCCTTCAGAGCTCAAGCTTACGAGCGTGGACGACGGAAAGAGCATCGCTTGTAAAAGCGCGTGTGAAGCTTTTAACCAACCACAATTCTGTTGTAGTGGCGCGTACGCCACTCCCGATACTTGCAATCCCTCTCCGTATTCGCAAGCGTTTAAAAACGCGTGCCCACGCGCTTACAGCTACGCTTACGACGATTTAACCAGCACGTTTACATGTCTCAACGCCGACTATATCATCACATTTTGCCCCTCGCCCAACACTAGGTAAATTTACATAATTCTCCCCCTTTAACTTTCTTTATTCCCGCTTTATCATTTTAACGTTGGAGGCTATTTTCGTCCACCAGGAGTTAACAAAAACCATGGAATATGAACGTTAATGGGAAGCATTATGATTTCTGCACAGAGGGAATATCTCGTGCATCAATGCTGTCCCCAATAGGATTTAGAGGGGTATTTAAGTAATTTAATCTACATCGACCGACTGTTTAGCCGACATGTCTCTCGGTGGATCATGGGACGGCTACGCCACCAACGGCCTTGCCGGGAAATCGGCGAGTCGGTTTAATAAATCTAATCGTCTGGAGGGAATAGAGAATTTTTCACGTGGTATTTGTTTACTTGTTAATTCAACGGGTTTAACTCGCGTAAAACGAGGAGTCCTAGCTAACGCAACGGTAAAAAATACTGTATAACGGTCCACTCAACTTCTGACACGTGTTCCTTAGTTTTCCGAATATGTTAAACTGACAAGTTTTGTTTCTTTTTGTGGTTGCAGTCAGAAATCAACGGAAACTCACAACACAAACACGCCAGTGATCAATGGCGGCAATGGCACAATGGTTTACGAAGGGGCTGCGTTTGATCTAAGCAGCGCGTCGAGAACAACGCTCCGCCATATTCTAGGCGTAGTTGTTGCCACGGTGGCAGTCCTTCAAATGTGGCAACTGTTTTGACCGACCGATCCTCGCTATATGTCATAGGTAGTAGTAGTAGCAGACCCATTACCTTTTACAGAACTTTTCAGCCCATTTTTGCCTAGAAGGAATCGTGTCACGTGTGGAGCCCACCACGGTTTTCAGTTTCGTTCGTTAAAAGGCATGATGGGCCAAGTGTGTGGGCCGGGCCCATATTTAGGGGACCCAAATGATGTGGATGCGAGTCATGAATGAAAAGGCTCATCCGCATACGTTAAATGAGGGAAGCCGCCAACCAATCCACCACCACCTTCAATGGCGAAAGCTGACATAGAAGAAGATTTTTAATATTTTTTAGGAATTCTTTCCAAGGATTATTTTACTTCAATTCTTTATAATTAGATGAAGAAGAAACAAAATAATGATATTTGGAGGATTCATTTATTTGTAATGGGGAACAATTCAATATTGTTAAATTTAATTCTTCTCCTCATGATTAAATTGTTTGATTACATCTGTATCACATTATAATAGTGTGCTATAAAAGAAATGAATCCTATATAACAGCTAATGAAATTTGATAAATATATATATTAAACAAAGGTGGGAGATGTGGATGGCAGTGTTAGATATAATTTAATCGTCCCATTTGAAAACAAACGACAGATGATTAACAACATCAAATAAATTATTCATACATAAAGGTAAGGTCTTAATTCAAATACAAATAAAATAAGAGGGTCGTACCTGTAGATTATCAATCTATAGCTGTCCATTTCATATTCTATGGGTCTCAGACACTGAGAAAGATATCAAAATTGGCCAACTTGACCAAAAGAAAAAAAGTGCAATTGCAGTAGCAAGCAAGCAAGCCAATGATATTAATATTAGGGATATATCTATTAAAAGTAACGCAATTTAAAAGACAAAATTGTGATCTTTTTCTTGCTTAGGTAAGCATTAATGTACATTTTAAAATAGAAAAGAAAGACAAGTTTGTTGGTGATATGTGTACCTTTGCAAAAGTGTCCAAGAGCACGGAATGAGCTGCCTAAAGAAGTGTAGAGGCCCTACTATACAAAGCTTGAAAGGGAAAGGCCAAAAATGCAAAATAGAAGCCACTTGATTAAGTAAACCAAGACAGAAGAGGAAAAATAGTAGAATTAGTAAGTAGAAGAAACAGGTAGTCAGTCAATGAGTAATGTCAAAGAGTAAAGATGGGAGGGGCTATGTCAAAGTTGTAATAATATAGTATGAATATTTTGGCTCTTATATCTAAATTGCAATAGCACCACTTGGGATTTCACTCAATGCTAAACTCTATCCCATTCATACACCCTTTAAGCTAAAATGTGAAGACCCTAATGCTAAAATTCTGTGATATGTTGGATGGAACAGAATACACAGCTACATCTACCAAAGCCGCCTTCTTTTTTCTTTTTTCTTTTTTTTTTTTTTTTTTTTTTTTTT